TGTCAATTTTTCATGGATGTTTAGTGAGGTGTCACAGCTTTGTACCAATCACTAATCATACTCCCACACATAAAAGGCTCATAAACCAGGACATCTCGCCACGTACTAAGACTGAAATCAAACAAAACCATCACACACATTTTCTTATTGGAAAATCCAGGTCTGTGGAGTTAATCAGGGCCTTTCCCAATGAGATGCACCTAATCACTCATTTCCATCCCATCAAATCACTGTCCAAGCAAATTAGACTCATTAATTCAATGTGGGGAGCACATTTCTGTCTGTGGATAGTGGGATACTTCCATTTTCCAAACACGGCTGAGAAGGTACAAAATCCAGTTAAGAAGAGTTTCCCAATTAAATGAATTGGGATTTCTGGCAAAAGTCTGAAATAGGAGATGCTACAGGACATTGTAAATGAGTATGTAAACATTGTTTAAAAGAAGGGAGAACTGGAGAAGGCACTGGGTTGGTTAGGAGAAAATGAATGTTATGTTCTTGAAGGGTGACCCTGGTAACCATTGTAAAAAAATTGTTCCAAGCTTGGTCTGGAATTTGTATATTAAGTAATTCACAGTCTCTTTATAGGAAGAAATAAGCACTTTTATTAAACTGTAAGCAATTTTCTGATGAATTTTAATTTGACTAAAGCTTCTTCAAAGAAACTTATCTGACCACTTGGATAACTAAGAGTTAACTGTAAGTGAAGAGTATAAAATTTCTTCTTTTACATTTTTTTGTTTTTAAATTTATTTTTTAATTGACATGTATTGATTGTACATATTTACGGGGCACAGAGTTATATTTCAATACATGTATACAATGCATGATGATCAAATCAGGGTAATTAGCATATATGTCATCACAAAAATTTATCATTTCTTTGTGATAAGGGCATTTGAGCTCCTCTCTTCTAGCCAAGCGGGAATGTACAATAAATTATTATTAATTATAGATGCCTAGTACTACTATAGACCACTAGAGCTTATTTGTCCTATCTAGCTGTAATTTTGTATCCATTAACCAACCTCTCCCTATCTCCTTCTTCCTTCCCAGCTTCTAGTAACCACAATTCTAAGAGTGCAAAATTTCCAACAATGATTATCTAAACACTTCTTTTTTCTATAAGTAAACAGTCTGAAAGTTGTTATTTTTAACATCAAAAACATCACAATGGGCTGGCTGGTTAGCTCAGTTGGTTAGAGTGCAGTTATAACACCCCAAGGTCAAGGGTTCTGAGCCCCTTACCAGCCAGCAGCCAAAAAAAAAAGAAAGAAAGAAAGAAAAAAGGCATCACAATGAGGAAAGCAGCAAATATTTACATGNTCCAGCTTCAAAGACACCAAGGGTTTGACAGGAGCAGGATGGATTTGGGCAACCTGATATGACTTGGAGAATATGGTTTTTTTACACATACACACACAAAGATAAAATTTTTTTTTTTACTTAAATTATAGCATATCATACACACTGTTATACACATTGCTATTTATACTAAATATATCTTGGAACGAATCCCAACTAGTAAATATTATGCTATATAATTGGCTTAACAGCCACATTGTTTTATATTAAATGGATATATATATATTTTTTTTTTTTTTTTCCTTTTTGTCTTTTTTTTTCGTGACCGGCAACAGATCGCAACCCTCGGTGTTGCGCCCATACCAGACCGGGACTGGCAATGGAATCGCAACCCTCGGTGTTGCTCCCGCACCTCGCTCAGCCAGTGAGCGGCCGGTCTGTATGTGGGATCCGAACCCTCGGCGTGAGCGCCGCCACACTCCCAAGCGGCGCACTGTAGCAGTGCGCCACTGGGCCGGCCCTAAATGGATATATCTTAATTTATTTAACCAATGTGTGGTCAATAATCTTTTGTGTTGTTTCCAGTCTTTCGCTATAACAAACAATGCTGTAATAAATATCCTTCTGCATATATCATTTTACTTGTATATAAATTCACAATGATCAATTCCTTAAAAGTATAATTGCTCAAAGATTATATGTACTTTAAGTTTGAATACATCTTGATCGAACCAGTTTTCAATGAGCTTGGACTGTACACGCAGGTCCCAAGTCCTGACTAAGAAACAATTATTTGCTTACTTTAAGAAAACTTTTGGGTTAATGGGTTTTGGCTTAAGACAACTGAAACCCAGAAAAGCAAACAAAATAATATTACTGACACCTCTGGAATATATTAAAATTAGCATAACAGTAACAATAGGAAGGAATTAAGAAACTATAAAAATAATGTAGAAATGGACTAAGCCCACATCACTGTTAGGGTATTAATATAACTTGTAATAATTGTGTATATTCTTTATATACATCTTTACTTTAAAATGTTTAAAGTGTCCAAAAGAATAGTTATACTGAAATACTAACAGAAGGCTA